GGGGAGCAGAAAAGCTAGAAAGCTGAAATTTGGGGATTATGTTCCCCGTCCATATAGAACTCAAAGATTTTAAATTCAGCTTCCAGGTATGCGCTTTTTCTTCGCGCGGCCCCGTGAGGTTTCCTGGCGCGAAAACCGCTAGCTCAGGAACTAAGAAAGCTGGGAGGCTGAAACTTTCAGGAAATGTTCCCAACTCATCTACAACTTAAATTTATCAAACTCAGCCCCCCGTTATGCGTGGTTGCCACGTACGGCCCAGTGAAATTTTCTGGCTGGAATTTGGGTAACTCGGGAATTGAGAAAGTTGGGAACCTGGGATTTCGAGGGAATGTTCTCTGTCCAAGTATAGCGTGAATAATTCCCGAAATTCGAGGGCCAGTATGTACAAGTGGTTTCTAGCTAGCGGAATTTCGAGTGATTTTATTACAGCACGAAACACTGCAAAAACGCATGATCGCAAGGACCCGCCCAGTGCGCTTCGCCAATGATTTCGGTGTAAACTGGCAAAAGTAGAAGGAAGTGAGCGCCCGGTCGATCACTGGTGATCTCTGTCCCAACAATAATATGCAGATTTCACTACGGCCACAAAAGCGAGAGGCTAGTTGTCTTGGAAGGCGTCACTTAGAGAACAGACGCTTTTTATAAATGTGCTGCGCGTGCTTGATAAAAATTGCAGTAATTGAAGGTAACGAGCCGATGTACTCACCAGCAGTTTTTTTTTGTTTCCTAAAAACATTGAGAGTTTCATATTAAGCGTCCAGGCGGCCTTGGTGATACAAACATTTTTCATTCAAGCGAGTATTTTTAGAGGTGGCCAGTTTCAGTTTGTTGTTTTATCCATTCCAAAAGTATGCGGATGGAGAATCCGGAGAAATTTGTTTACATAATTATGTAGTTCTAATTTACAGAATGAGAAACAAATGCAGATATTGTGTCAAAAAGCAGGACAGATTGTGCAGACAGTGTGTCCGCCCGGAGCACCATTCCTTTGTATGAAATTTGTGGAACCCGTGGAAGAAGTAATTCGACGACTGAAAATTGAGTCACCATTTTGTAAGTGCTTGGGTCTTCTTTCTTTTTTTCAACGTTTTGAATAGCCAGATTTTTTTCGGGCATTGCGTGGTTACTAATCAGGCCAATTGCTTCTGATAATTTTTTGCCCCATCTATCTGTTTTTGCCTTGATTGAATTTGCTCTCCTTTTTAAGACGCTCCTTCTGCGAATAAATTTTACGTGCATTCTTCTTTGTTCGATTATGATTTTGGCACTTGCTCATTACAAAAGAATGAGAAGAGAAAAAAGGAAACAGTCGCTGCTGTGAACGTATACTGCTTGACTTACTCGAGATGTTGTAGGGAAGATTAACGCAGCTCGCCTGTTTATAGTTCAGAATTCGACACCGCCATCGGAACAGCCAATCTGTT